ACCCCCACTTTCACAATGGACAGATCATCCAAAATGAAAATAAATAAGGAAACACAAGCCTTAAATGATACATTAAACAGATGGACTTAATTGATATTTACAGGACATTCCACCCAAAAACAACAGAATACACTTTCTTCTCAAGTGTTCATGGAACGTTCTTCAGAATAGATCATATCTTGGGTCACAAATCAAGCCTTGGTAAATTTAAGAAAACAGAAATTACATCAAGTATCTTTTCCAACAACGCTATGAGACTAGATATCAATTACAGGAAAAAATCTGTAAAAAATATAAACACATGGAGGCTAAACAATACACTACTAAATAACCAAGAGATCACTGAAGAAATCAAAGAGGAAATTAAAAAATACCTAGAAACAAATGACAATGAAAACACGACGACCCAAAACCTATGGGATGCAACAAAAGCAGTTCTAAGAAGGAAGTTTATAGCAATACAATCCTACCTTAAGAAACAAGAAACATCTCACATAAACAACCTAACCTTACACCTAAAGCAATTAGAGAAAGAAGAACAAAAAACCCCAAAGTTAGCAGAAGGAAAGAGATCATAAAGATCAGATCAGAAATAAATGAAAAAGAAATGAAGGAAACAATAGCAAAGATCATTTAAACTAAAAGCTGGTTCTTTGAGAAGATAAACAAAATTGATAAACCATTAGCCAGACTCATCAAGAAAAAAGGGAGAGGACTCAAATCAATAGAATTAGAAATGAAAAAGGAGAAGTAACCATTGACATTGCAGAAATACAAAGGATTATGAGATTATTACAAGCAACTATATGACAATAAAAGGGACAACCTGGAAGTAATGGACAAATTCTTAGAAAAGCACAACCTCCCAAGACTGAACCAGGAAGAAATAGACAATATAAAAAGACCAATCACAAGCACTGATATTGAAACTGTGATTAAAAATCTTCCAACAAACAAAAGTCCAGGACCAGATGGCTTCACAGGCCAATTGTATCAAACATATAGAGAAGAGCTAACACCTATCCTTCTCAAACTCTTCCAAAGTATAGCAGAGGGAGGAACACTCCAAACTCATTCTACGAGGCCACCATCACCCTGATGCCAAAACCAGACAAAGATGTCACAAAAACAGAAAACTACAGGCCAATATCACTGATGATCATAGATGCAAAAATTCTCAACAAAATACTAGCAAAGAGAATCCAACAGCACATTAAAAGGATCATACAGCATGATCAAGTGGGGTTTATCCCAGGAATGCAAGGATTCTTCAATATACGCAAATCAATGAATGTGATACACCATATTAACAGAGTAAAGGAGAAAAACCATACGATCATCTCAACAGATGCAGAAAAAGTTTTTGACAAAATTCAACACCCATTTATGATAAAAACTCTCCAGAAAGTAGGCATAGCAGGAACTTACCTCAACATAATAAAGGCCATATATGACCAACCCACAGACAACATCATTCTCCATGGTGAAAAACTGAAACCATTTCCACTAAGATCAGGAACAAGACAAGGTTGCCCACTCTCACCACTATTATTCAACATAGTTTTGGAAGTTTTAGCCACAGCAATCAGAGAAGAACAAGAAATAAAAAGAATCCAAATCAGAAAAGAAGTAAAGCTGTTACTGTTTGCAAATGACATGATACTATATACACAGAGAATCCCAAAGATGCTACCTGAAAACTACTAGAGCTCATCAATGAATTTGGTAAAGTAGCAGGACATAAAATTAATGCACAGAATTCTCTTGCATTCCTATACACTAATGATGAAAAATTTGAAAGAGAAATTAAGGAAACACTCCCATTTACCGTTGCAACAAAAAGAATAAAATACCTAGGAATAAACCTACCTAAGGAGACAAAAGACCTGCATGCAGAAAACTATAAGACACTGATGAAAGAAATTAAAACTGATACAAAGAGATGGAGAGCTATACCATGCTCTTGGATTGGAAGAATCAACACTGTGAAAATGACTATACTACCCAAAGCCATCTACAGATCCAATGCAATCCCTATCAAACTACCACTGGCATTTTTCACGGAACTAGAACAAAAAATTTCACAATTTGTATGGAAACACAGAAGACCCCGATAGCCAAAGCAATCTTGAGAACGAAAAATGGAGCTGGAGGAATCAGGCTCCCTGACTTCAGACTATAGTACAAAGCTACAGTAATCAAGACAGTATGGTAGTAGCACGAAAACAGAAATATAGATCAATGGAACAGGATAGAAAGCCCAAAGATAAACCCACACACATATGGTCACCTTATCTTTGATAAAGGAAGCAAGAATATACAATGGAGAAAGAAGTCAGCCTCTTCAGTAAGTGGTGCTGGGAAAACTGGACAGCTACATGTAAAAGAATGAAATTGGAACACTCCCTACACCATACACGAAAATAAACTCAAAATGGATTAAAGACCTAAATGTGAAGCCAGACACCATAAAACTCTTAGAGGAAAACATAGGCAGAACACTCTATGACATACATCACAGCAAGGTCCTTTTTGACCCACCTCCTAGAGAAATGGAAATAAAAACAAAAATAAACAAATGGGACCTAATGAAACTTAAAAGCTTTTGCACAGCAAAGGAAACCATAAACAAGACCAAAAGACAACCCTCAGAATGGGAGAAAATATTTGCAAACAAAGCAACTGACAAAGGATTAATCTCCAAAATATACAAGCAGCTCATGCAGCTCAATATCAAAGAAACAAACAACCCAATCCAAAAATGGGCAGAGGACCTAAATAGACATTCCTCCAAAGACGATATACAGATTGCCAACAAACATATGAAAGGATGCTCAACATCACTAATCATTAGAGAAATGCAAATCAAAACTACAGTGAGGTATCACCTCACACCGGTCAGAATGGCCATCATCAAAAAATCTACAAACAATAAATGCTGAAGAGGGTGTGGAGAAAAGGGAACCCTCTTGCACTGTTGGTGGGAATGTAAATTGATACAGCCACTATGGAGAACAGTATGGAGGTTCCTTAAAAAACTAAAAATAGAACTACCATACGACCCAGCAATCCCACTACTGGGCACATACCCTGAGAATACCATAATTCAAAAAGAGTTATATACCACAATGTTCATTGCAGCTCTATTTACAATAGCCAGGACATGGAAGCAACCTAAGTGTCCATCCACAGATGAATGGATAAAGAAGATGTGGTACATATATACAATGGAATATTATTCAGCCATAAAAAGAAACTAAATTATTTGTAGTGTGGTGGATGGACCTAGAGACTGTCATACAGAGTGAAGTAAGTTAGAAGGAGAAAAACAAATACTGTATGCTAACACATATACATTCAATCTAAAAAAAAAATTGCTGAAGAACCTAGGGGCAGGACGGGAATAAAGATGCAGACGTAGAGAATGGACTTGAGGACACGGAAAGGGGATGGGTAAGCTGGGACGAAGTGAGAGAGTGGCAGTGACATATATACACTAACAAATGTGAAATAGCTAGCTAGTGGGAAGCAGCCACATAGCACAGGGAGATCAGCTCTGTGCTTTGTGTCCACCTAGAGGGGTGGGATAGGGAGGGTGAGGAAGACACAAGAGGGAGGAGATATGGGGATATATGTTTATGTATAGCTGGTGCACTATGTTATAGAGTAGAAACTAACACACCATTGTACAGCAATTATACTCCAATAAAGATGTTAAAAAAAAAAAAAGAAGTGGGAGGTAAGAGAGCAGAAGTGGTCTGTAACAGTTTCCTGCTTGGGTTACTGGCTGGAGCCAATTATGGGAGAAAAAAAGATGAGTTCAGTTTTGGACATAACGAGTGTGAGATCTTTATGATGTTAACTGGATAGATGGGGAGTTCAGAAGAGAGATTTTGGCTAGAGAATCATCAGTACTACTGGGAGTGGAGAGTCTTAGTAACACAAATGAGCCTTACTCTACCAGGCAGACTTCCTGCTTGGATACATGTAAACTATTTCTAGCCACCATGTAGTTGGTTTCACAGCTAGGGAGGCGGAGTGGAAATGGAAGCAGAATAATTCAACAGTGTAAGAGAGAGATACGGAAGCCTGGACCAGGGTGATATAGGAGGGGCCTTAAAAATTCAAACTTTTCATTCAGCACTCTTCCCAGTGGGGCACTGAGATATCACAGTTTATAAGAAATATGGATTTGGTCATTCAGTTGGCCAAAATATATTTCTCATATGTATCTGGTCTTCATCCACAGTTCCTAGCTCTCCCAAAACCCTTGGAATTTCCTAAGTGTTAAGAGTGACAAAGATATGTTCTGCTATGTTCATGAAGTACTTTTGGAAAGTGCCTAAGGATGGAGGTTAGCTGCCTGTGGAGCCAACCATGTGATTACAGGTTTAGCACTTTCAGTCCCAGCCCCTGACCTCCGGAAGGGGGGAGGGGCTGGAAGTTGAATCTATCACCAATGGCCAATGATTCAATCAATCATGCCTATGCTACGAATCCTCCATAAAAACCCAAAAGGATGGGGTTTGGGAAGCTTCCAGGATGATGAACACGTGGAGGTGCTGGGAGAGTGGTGTGTCTGCAGAGGCCATGGAAGCCCCACACCCTTTCCCCACGCCTTGCTCTATATATCTCTTCCCTCTGGCTGTTGCTGAGTTATATTATATCCTTTTATAATAAACCTGTAATCTAGTAAGTAAAATGTTTCCACGACTTCTGTGAACCACTGGAGCAAATTATCGGGCCCAAGGAGGGGGTCGTGGGAACCTCTGATTTATAGCCAGTCAGTCAGAAGTACAGGTAATGACCTGAGCTTGCAACTGGCATCTGAAGTGGGAGGGGGTGGTTTTGTAAGACTGAACCCTTAACCTGTGGGATCTGACACTGTCTCTGGGTAGATAGTCAGAATACAGTTGAACTGTAGGACATTCACCTGGTGTCCCAAGAATTATTTGTTGGTATCAGGATGCCCACCCATCCCCACCATACAATTTAAGCACCCACTAACATTGCGCAGTATCCTCATTCATGCACCTATGTTACAGGCAAACTGAATGTGCCTTCAAAGATGCTTGAGCTTTTCTGCTCATTAAACCACATGTTGTTTCCAAGGCCTAGAATAATCATTAAATTTGGAATAACATAGCCTTGCAGTCAGACTGATTAGGGTTCAAACACCAGCTCTGCCCACTGCTTTAAGAGGGCTGGATTTCTCACTCTCCAATAAGCCACAGTTTCTTCATCTGTAAAAGAGGCATAACAGTACCCGTCTCTTAGGACTGCAATGAGGCTGCAAGATAACAATTCATATAATGCATTTAGAAGACTACCTAGCACATGGTAACTGCTCTACCAGTGACTCATTGGTAGCAATTAACATAATAATACTGGTATAGTAGAAAAAAGCATAAAATTTCTTTTGTATCAAAAGATGTTTCCTCTCCAGAGCCACTACTTATTATACTGTGTGATTAGCTTTCGTTTTCTCTCTTGTACAATAGGGATAATAACAGTATCTAACTCATAGAGTTATTGTGAGGATCCAATGTTTTCTAAAGTACTTTGTAGACTAAAAGCATTCTACCAATACTAGTTATAATAATAATAATAAATACTGTCTCCTGGATGAATAAGTGATTATAGTGACACAATCTCCAAAGCATCTTTACAAAATTTGATAAGTGCACTTTCTCATTCAGCACAGAAAATATTTATTAAGTAACTTACAGCACACAAGTAAATACCATGCTAAGCAAATGAAAGACATTTAGAAGCTGTCAAGTAAAGGACAGACTATTGCATAATCATAAATGGTAGCTATTTTAGCTACTGCTTTCATCTTACCGTATGCGCAGCACTTTTGTCTTCAAAGCCTTTTGGAAAAAAGACGCTTTTGAATTGGTTCACATCTGCTTTATTCTCGTCAAAGTTGATGCTGAACTGCTGAAGATATCTCCCATAGCACTGTAAAAGGGCCAATTTATATTCCTGAAATAAAAAGAGGACTTGATGAAGGTTTCAAAATATCACTTTGCTTATCATTATTAAAATTAAGTAATATTCATATTATTCTTAATAGTGTCAATGTTGATTATTACTATTACTGCTATTACTATCACCATGACACCATTATCACTATTTCCAAACACAAACTTAACAGACACTGTGCTTGGCAATGCATGTGCATTATTTCATTTAATTCTCCTCACAACAAGCCAATTGTGAGATGAGACCATCATGACCTCAAAGATGGGAATATTCACCAGGGCACTGTGTGTGGTAATAACCTGGATATACTCAAAAACCAAAGGTTTAACCTCAACAGATCATGGTAACCCACAAACTCAGTGAGAGAGGTAAAGGAGTTGTATAACCAGCCCTGCTTCTCTGATACCTCCTAAGCTCCAAAAAAGAAAGAGTAGGAGAGGGCAGAAAGGGAGGGACAAAAGGGGGAAGGAGGGAGAAAAGAAGGGAGGGAGAAAAAAGGAAGGAAGGAAAGAAAGAAGGGAGAGGAGAAAAATGCAGGGAATGAGCTGGCTCATCTGTCGACAGTCTCTTAAATTATATCAGGACGAATTAAAAATGTCTGAGCTGCTATGATTCTTGTTAGCTCTAATTCATGCTTACATTCCAATTACAAAGTCAGATGCCTCATTCCTGAAGCCCACGGGGCACAGTTGACCTGGAGAGTTTCAGGGCGGTGGATGTGAGCAGGGTTTTACATATGACTCAGCTGCAACCCTTTCTCTGCTTCCTCCCCTGCAACTGTGTTTCCAGGAAAAACAGCTGCCCTGGGTGTGAACTGCCTATTGGGTGACCTCGCCCCTCAGGAGGCACCACAGTCAAACGCTGTTTTGTTTCTATTGACTTGTTTGTTACTTGCTCACTAATTAATTCTGAATCTTTTCGCTCTAATTTGATTCACATAATGAATTCAAATCTAGGTTCAAAACAAGCGTGGTCCAAGAAGATGAGTTCTACTGTAACTAAAATAAAACTAGATTCTAGAAACCAGAGTAACCACTCAAGTTTGTTTCCAGGATTACAAATACCTTTACCGGCCCACTTTCCCAACACTGAAAAGTAGTTAAAAAACCTTTTCTTTGTTCCTCTAAGTAAATTTGTAAATATCTTACCTGAAATATTCTGAATCCTTAGCCACTATCCAACATCAACTTGCTTTATCAACCTGTAAAATGCTCCTTCCTCTTCCCTCCACCCACCTGGATACTCCTCAAACCACCCCAAAATGGGCTGTGTATCACCAGCTTCTTATTATGTTGAGAAGAAGCATAAAAAATAGGGGGGGGGGGCACACCTCTAATTCTGGTCAAAACTATTATTCCACTTCACATGAATATAGCTTACAAGTTGGATCTCACCTGGGGCTTTTTTCTGTGGTTTTCCAAACTCCGTATGGTCCAATTACTTGGAGCTAAGATGATTCTCTAATTTGGGCAGCAGAAAATATATCTTAGTGCTTCCTTATGAAAGTTCCTCCTCATCTTAGCCTCTATTTGGTAACTTTCCCTCCCAGACCAAAAACATTCAAGTCCAGAAAATAGAAATGGAGGAGGGAAATGAAGCTGAGAAACTGTAGATTGAGGAGACTTGAAACTGCCCCCACGGAGTTAACAGCTCATAACAAATAGAAATTCGTAAGCTTGTCTTACAGAACAGATAAGGGAACGGCTTGGTAAAACCCCTTTGTTTGTGAACTACCTTCACTGATTAAGCCTGCTGTAGTTTTGTTTTGTTTTTTCCTCTTTCTTTTCTCCTCTCTTAAATTACATAACTTCCCAGCTTCACTCAGCTCAGCTGTTTCACAGTAACTTAGAGTCACCTCTTGCCACTGCGAGCCGGCTGGGGCTGGTTGGGACCACAGACCCTAGAACTGGGCCTGCGCAGGTGTCCCTGGCACGGCCTTTTGACGTCAGAGGCTGGAAAACTCCGCCCTCCGGTCCTGCTAAACGCCTCCATTTTGAATACACAGAAGCACATAGCCCAGATGCACCTGCGCAGAACACCGACTACCTCACCATTTTCCCTACCTCCAGTCATCTTTCCCCATGCCTGAAACCACTCTGCTTATATCTCGTAAATATCCCAACTCCCTCGCCTTAGGGGAGGCGGATCTGAGACTCGTTCTTCGCTTGGCTGCCTTGTGAATAAACTTTCTCTGCTGCAAACCTCAGCGGCTCAGCTTTTGGCTCTCTCTGCATGGGGAATATGGACCTGGCTCGGCAACAGACTGAATACTGCTGGTGTCTGGCGTAAAATCACTTTGTATAAAATAACTCTTGGTCCAAGGATCCCACGTGTGCCAAAGGCTCATATGTAATTTGAAATAATTTGGGCCTGTGCCAGACCTTGGGGGAAAATTCACATTTTCGTTCACTGAAAACCCAGCCATGGTGTGGTCTTACCAAACTAAGTCCATGAATCCACAGCAATCCAATACTTCCGCATTGATATAGAACTAGAAGAAGGGCACAAACTCGGTTGGAATACAACACTGAGCCAAGAAACAGGGTATGTATGGAATGACCGCTGTAATTACTGATACATACAGCAAAATGTAAAGAAGGAGCTGAAAGTCATTAAAACAAGGCACCTGGAAGCAAGCAACATAGCAGCAAGGCCAGGAGCTATGAGAGTTGTCTGCTGGGCAAGGCCAGCCATGTGAAAAACAACAGGAAGTGGTGTCTGGGCTCCTTTGTGTAAGGTAGGAACATGATGACTCAGCATTTCCTGTCGGGCGCCTACCACACCCTCTGTTAACTAGGGGCTGTGCTTATGCTCCGCCAACCGTCTTTCTGTTCAGGAATCTCTCACCTCTGGAGAATCCCAGCCACAAAATTTTAGAGTGAACACTTTTTTGGCTACTGTGCCTCGTTAAAATTTGTATGTATTCCCTTATATATTTCTAAGAAAAAAAAATCAAATCATTTAAATAGGAATGGTATCAAATCAAAAAGATAATAATTAGCCAAATGAGTTTCATTTGGGCTCTTTCTACTCCGGAGGTACTTACTTTCATTTCACAAAGTCTATCTCCAACCTTCAGAAGCTTTTCGTTGAAATAGGCAGCTGGCAGCCGGGGGGCGTATTTGGTCCAGATATTAAACAAAGAGGTGGCACTGTAAAAATCATAAAGTAAAATGATATCCTCAAAGTCAGCCGGAAACCTAAATTAGAAAGCAATCCTTTAAAACTTACCTTGTGCTCTTTTTTTTTTAAGTATTCAGGTGGGTTTTTTAAATAAATTTTTTATTTATTTTTGGCGCGTTGGGTCTTCCTTGCTTAGCACAGGCTTTCTCTAGTTGCGGCGAGCAGGGATTGGGGGCTGTTCTCCGTTGTGGTGCGTGGGCTTCTCATTGCGGTGGCTTCTCGTTGTGGAGCAGGGGCTCTAGGCGCCCGGGCTTCAGTAGTTGTGGTTCGTGGACTCTAGAGCGCAGGCTCAGTAGTTGTGGTGCACAGGCTTAGTTGCTCAGTGGCATGTGGTATCTTCCCAGACCACGGCTTGAACCCGTGTACCCTGCATTGGCAGGCGGATTCTTAACCACTGTGGCACCAGGGAAGTCCATGCTCTTTTTAATGTGCTTTATTGTTAATGTCTAATTATTGATAAACGTAATTATGGTTAAAAGTATTATTTCCTTTATACCAAGCACTGATAGTTCTTTATATGCATTTTTAATGATTTTATTTTTTTAATTTTACTATTTTTTATTGGGGTATAGTTGATTTATAATATTATATAAGTTTTAGATGTACAACATAGTGATTCACAATTTTTAAAGGCTATACTCCATTTATAGTTATTATCAAATATTGACTATACTTCCTGTGCTGTACAATATATACTTGTAGCTTATTTATTTTATACATAGTAGTTTGTACCTCTTAATCCCCTACCTCCATCTTTCCCCTCCCCCCTTCTAGAACAAACCACTAGTTCTCTATGTCTGGGAGTCCATTTCTTTTTGGTTATATTCACTAGTTTGTTGTATTTTTTAGATTCCACGTATAAGTGATATCATACAGTATTCGTCATTCTCTGTCTGACTTCTTTCACCTAGCATAATGCCCTCCAAGTCTATCCATGTTGTTGCAAATGGCAAGATTTTATTCTTTGTTATGGCTGAGTAATATTCCATGGTGCACGTGCATGCATGTGCGTGTGTGTGTGTATCACATCTTCTTTATCCATTCATCTGTTGAAGGACACAGGTTGTTTCCACATCTTAGCTATTATAAATACTGCTGCTATGAACATTGGGACTATACTCTTTGTATGCATTTTTTAAAATTGACTTTATTTTTTACAGTAGTTCTAAGTCCACAGAAAAACTGAGCAGAAAGTATAGAGATTCCCTGTATACCACCGTCTCCCGCACAGGCACAGCCTTCTCCATTATCAACATCACCCACCAAAGTGGTACATTTGTTAACCATTAATGAACCTACACTGACACATCATTATCATCCAGTGTCCATAGTTTACATTAGTGTATATCCTTGGTGTTGTCCATTCTATGGGTTTGGACAAAAGTATAATGACATGTATCCACCATTGTATCATACAGAGTAGTTTCACTGCCCTAAAAATCGTCTGTGCTCTGCCTGTTCATCACTCCCTCCCCACTAACCCCAGGCAACCATTGAACTTTTTACTCTCTCCATAGCTTTGCCTTTTTCAAAATGTCATATAGTTGGAATCATATATATGTAGCATTTTCAGATTGGCTTCTTTCACTTAGTAATCTGCATGTAAGATTCACCCATGTTTTTTCCATGGCTTGATAGCTCATTTCATTTTAGCATTGAATAATATTCCATTGTCTGTATATACCACAGTTTATCAGTTTACTTACTGAGAGACATCTTGTTTGCATCCAAGTCTTAGCAATTTGAGTAAAGCTGCTATTAACATCTATGTGCAGATTTTCATATGGACATAAGTTTTCAACTCCTTTGGGTAAATACCAAGGATCACAACTGCTGGATTATATGGTAAGAGTGTGTTTAGTTTTGTAAGAAAACATCAAGCTGTCTTCAAAAGTGGCTGTACCTCTTTGCATCTCCACCAGCAGTGAATGAGAATTTTCCTGTTGACCCACATCCTTGTCAGCATTTGGTGTTCTCATTGTTCTGGATTTTGGTCATTCCAATAGGTGTGTAGTGGTATCTCGTTGTTTTAACTTGCATCTTCCTGATAACATATGATTTAGAGCATCTTTTCATATATGTATTTGCCATTTGTGTATCTTCCTTGGGTAGATGTCTGTTACGGTTTTTGGCTCGTTTTTTAAATTAGGTTGTTTGTTTTCCTAATGCTGAGTTTCTAGAGTTCTATGTATATTTTGGATAGTAGTCCTATCAGATATGTCTTTTGCAAGTATTTTCTCCCAGTCTGTGGCTTGGCTTTCATTCGCTTGACAGTCTCCTTCACAGGGCAGAAAATTTTAATTTTAATGAAGTCCATTTTATCAGTTCTTTCATGGATCATGCCTTTGGTGTTGTATCTTAAAAGTCATTGCCAAACCCATGGTCATCTAGATTTCTCCTACATTATCTTCTGGGAGTTTTACAGCATTGCATTTTACATTTAGATTTGTGATCCATTTTGAGTTAATTTTGGGGAAGGGTGTGAAAGTCTGTGTCTAGGTTCAATTTTTCACATGTGCATGTCCAGTTGTTCCAGCACCATTGTTAAAAAGACTGTCTTTGCTCCATTATATTGCCATTACTCCTTTGTGAAAGACCAGTTGGCTATATTCATGTCAGTCTAGGCTTTTTATTCTGTGCCTTTGATCTATCTGTACATTCTTTCGCCGCACCACGCTGTCTTGGTTAGTGTAGCTTTACAGTAAGTCTTGAAGTCACAGGTGCTGTCAGTCCCCCAACTTTATTCTTCTTCAATATTGTTTTGCCTATCCTGGGTCTTTTGCCAACATGAATATTTTTCATTTCATTTTCATAACAACTGAGACGGGTAATATTAGTATCCAAAATATACAGTTGATGAAACTGAGGCAGGGTGCATCTATGCTCGTAGCCAGTATATTACTGGGCCTTCCAGTCCTCTGGAATATGAATGCCCTGAGGGCAAGGACCTCATGTATATTATTCATTGCCCAGCCCCCAAGAGTAGTGAATGTCTAGTATATGTCAGTACTCAATACATACTTGTTGAAAGAATGAATGAATGAATATAGACGACTAGGGAAAATAATTCCTTGTTCTTATTTTTTTTTGCTTTTCTATAGAGAGTTCCAGGGTTCAAATACCCAGTCAGTTTAGGGCTATGCTTCCTACATGGTTTCTGATCAGAATTCAAAGGGTAGCAGATCACTGCCTGTTTTGTTCACTCATTTAGTTAATATTTACTCCTTCCCCCTCTCTCAGAAATTATTAATACTGCTAGGAAAAATCCAAATTTCTCTTAGCAGTCGCCCAATCCTATCTCATAAATTTCTAGAAAAGAATGGTGTTATGGACTGAATGTGTGCATGCCCTCAAAATTCATATGTTGAAGCCCTAATCCACAGTGTAGCTGTATTTGGAGAGGGAGACTCTAAGGAAGTAATTAAGGTTAACTGAGGTCATAAGGGTGGGGCCCTAGTCCGCTGGGATTAATCCATTCTAAAAAGAGACACCAGAGAGCTTGTTCTCTCTCTCTCTCCCTCTCCCTCTTTCTCTCTCTTTCTCTCTCTCTCTAACACCGCCACCCCCCAGCCCCGTCTCTGTCTCTCTGTGCTTGCACAGAGGAAAGGCTATATGAGAACAAAGTGGACATCTGCAAGCCAGGAAGAGAGCTCTCACCAGAAACTGATCCTGCCAGACCCTTGTCTGGGACTTTTAGCCTCCAGATCTGTGAGAAAACAAACTTCTGTTGCTTAAGCCACCCAGTCTATGGCATTTTGTTATGGCAGCCCAAACTGACTAATTAGTAATTACTAGTTAGTAGTTAGTAGCCCAAGCTGACTAATACAGACAGGAAGCTAAACTTAAGGACTGAAGATGGCTCTAGTATCCATATTTACCATGTACATGTTGGAGTATTAATGGAACAACCTCAACAAAAACATGTCAATTAATTCATTCAGGTAATTAAATGATAATGACTGAGTGACAAGGGAAGAGGGGGTACAGGGTATTCCTACCTTCATGGACTGATTAATAATATTTAGGAGTAGGAAAATATATACATGTACCATGTAGTAAATAACCGTGCCAAATAAAGAGTGTGGCAAATACAGCCCATAGAAGTTCAAAAAGGTAAATGTGTTTTGCTTTGTTTGTTTGTTTTACCCTTTTCACGTTCATTTGCTGCTTCATGAAATGCTATAGTATTAGAATAAATATAACGAATCCAAGAAATTCACCAAGTCTTGATAGACTTCTTAAATTATTGTAGATGAAAGAATTAATTCTTCCAAACCTTACAGATGAGATAATGATGAGTAGGCTTGTTACTCATAAAAGAAAAATACCAGCTTTGTTAAATCAATCAAGCTTATATAATAAGAGAATTTTTTTTTTTAAGTGTACCATAAGTTGAAGTTAAGACTGCTCATTGGGAATGGCTTACATAATAATTAAATAAGGAAAATATAATACATACTATGTAATGTACATCATTTAAGAAAAGAATGTCAATATATTTTGGTTTGCTATTTGATTATAGCTGCTGTTGGATACTTAGAATTTTCTAAAACAAAAGTCATAACTGTATAAACAGAATATCAAATTTTATGTGCTTATAACAAAAGCATACCTTTAAAATATATCACACTCTAAATTTAAGGACATTGCTGATATGATCAAAATCTATATTTTAGGGGCTTCCCTGGTGGCGCAGTGGTTGGGAGTCCGCCTGCCGATGCAGGGGACGCGGGTTCGTGCCCCGGTCCTGGAGGATCCCACATGCCACGGAGCAGCTGGGCCCATGAGCCATGGCCACTGGGCCTGCGCGTCCGGAGTCTGTGCTCCGCAACGGGAGAGGCCACAGCAGTGAGAGGCCTGCGTACCGCAAAAAAAAAAAATCTATATTTTAGATAAAACGAATTTTTATGCTTACAGCAGTTCCTATAGTTATAAAAAGAAACAATTTTGGATTTTAAAAAATAACCATCTGTCAAATATGTTATAAAAGCAACTCCTACATCCTGTACTCCTAACTGGTCTCCACATTGCCATCATTGCCCCATTTGGACAAAGTCACCAAAATATTTTAAAACAAAAATCACATAAGGTTAATTCTTTGCCAAAAACTAGGCAATGGTCTCCCGTTGCATTTGGAATAAATGCAGACTCTATAACTGGCCTCTAAAACCTTCCACAGCCCTACCTACTCCTCTAATCTCATCTCATACCACTGCACCCACACTTTCCACACTGTGCTAGACTGGCCTCTGTCCATTCCTCCAAAGGCCCCCGACTCTTTCCTGCCAAGATCGTCCCACGTGCTTGTTCCCTCTGTTTATCCTCTCTCCTTGCTGGTTGACTGCCAGGCGCGGGCTTTCTCTAGTTGTGGCGAGCAGGGGCTACTCTTCATTGCGGTGTGAGGGCTTCTCATTGTGGTGGCTTCTCGTTGCAGAGCACAGGCTCTAGGCGCTCGGGCTTCAGCAGCTGTGGCACACGGGCTCAGCAGTTGTGGCTCGTGGGCTCTAGAGCACAGGCTCCGTAGTTGTGGCGCACGGGCTTAGTTGCTCCGTGGCATGTGGAATCTTCCTGGACCAGGGCTCGAACCCGTGTCCCCTACATTGGCAGGCAGATTCTTAACCACTGTGCCACCAGGGAAGCCCTACTGCCAGCATCCTTCTAATCTCAGCTTAATGTCACCTCCCTCATCATTCCTTTGAAGGCAGGTCTCCGCTGTGTTGCCGTTAAGCCTGTGCTCAAGTGTTATCTACTCCAACCACCTTATTGAAAATTGCAACCTCCTGTCTCCCACTCCATAACCCTTCCTCTCTTTTTCTCCCTAGCATTTATCATTTTCTAGGTCACCATGAAATTACTTCTTTTATATGTTTATTGTCTATTTACCCCTCTAGAATATAAGCACCAAGAGAGCAGGGATTTTTGTCTGGTTCATTGCTGTATCCCCAGCACTTAGTGCAATACCTGGCACATATAAGCTCTCAGTAGCTTCTTCATAGCCCTTGTTTGTGTGTTAACTTAGTGACTCTCCCTCTCTCTATGAGCACAGATTCCCATATCTATTTTGTTTATCACTGTATAACCCATGACTAGTGCAAGCCCTGGCATATAGTAGGCACTCAATAAGAAATTATTCTATAAATAAATGGCTAAATATGTAAGAGGTTAGATGGCAAAGGTCCATGTCAATCAATGTTTGTGACTCTCTGTTTAAAGATGGGGCAGATACTGTATTTACCAGTTGACCCAGGTCTACAATTATTGAGAATGCAAGGACAATTCTTGAATTTTCAATGCCAAATATTCACTGAATGTTCACTATGTCCCAACCCTCAGGGTAGGTATTAGAGCAATGAAAAAGAGGCTCATCGTCATCAGGGAGCTTACACATTCTAATCAGGGAGATAGACAGTACACAAGAAAAGAAATAAATACAAGTATAAATTGATGGGTGAACCTGCATTTGATATGAAAGGCCACTCTAAGGAGGTAACAACTGAGCTAAGACCTGAAAGAAGAGAAGGAGCCAGATATTTGAAAAGTTAAAAAAAGAACATTTCAGACAAAGGAGGCATCAATTATAAAGTCCCTGGGGTGAGAAACAGAAGGATCTGTTTCCCTATAATGTCCTGAGACAGAAGTGAGGGATGAGCTGAGATGAGAGAGGCAGGCAAGGCCAGAGCCTCAGACCCTGAAAGACACCAGAAGTAGTCTTAATTTTATTCTAAAAGCAAAGGGAAACACAAGTCTTGAGATAGGGGAGTGGATGATTTATTTATAAAGGTTACCCTGACTGCTATGTGAAGGATAGATTTGAGACTCAAGTAGCTGCAGGGAAAATTTGAGATGGTGATGGTTTGAACTGGAATGTTGGTAGTGGAGATGGGAAGATAAACTGCTATCGAAGGCACCAAAACAGAAACATTTTCAATATAAATGTATGCAGCTTAGCTACGTAATGTGCTTTCCTTAGTCAATTCTTGGTTCTCATCTTACTTGGCCCATCAGCATGATTTGCCACAGTTGATTGATCATTCCTTCCTTCTTAAAACACTTTCTCTACTTGGCTTCCAGTACACCACACACTTACTGGTTTTCCTCTACCTCTTTAGCCGCTCCTTCTTAGTCTCTGTCAGTTTCTTCTTATCTTCCCAACTTGTCAATGTTGGAGGGTCCCAGGGTTAAGTCCATGGACCCTCCTCTTCTCCATCTATGCTCCCTCCCTTAGCTATTCCATCAAATGTCAAAGCTTAAATATCATCAACATGCTGATGAATCCCAGTGTACTTCTCCTCTGACCTCCAGGCTCAAATGTCCAACTACCTACATAATAGCTCTGCCTGGATGGTGAATTACATCTCAATCTTAATATATCTAAAAACTAAACTCTTCATCTCCCTCACTTCTGCCCAAAACCTGTCCTTCCCACAGTCACAATACAATCCCACTCCAGGACCTTTACACTTGCCAGTCTCCCTGTGTGGCCGACTCTTTCTACAGAAATCCTCATCACTTACTACCATAACATCTTCTCATCTTTCTCAAAGGTCACTTTTCCTGACTTTCCTTGACCATGCTCCCTGCCATCCCATTTTAAATTATAACACCCATCTGATATCCTCATCTTCCTCCCTGCTCTAGTTTTCTCCCTAGCACTTATCTCCTTGTAAAATAATTTCCTTACGTATTTGTTTAGTGGCTGTCTGTAGTCACAAAAATACATGCTCCATGAGGCTATGAATTTGTATATCTTTTAACTTGATGTTTTCCTAGTTCCTGGAATAGAACCTGATATTTAGGAGGTGCTCAATAAATATGTAGTTAAAAGCATGAATGAATAATAAACATAAGTTAAAACTATTTCTTCATATTAAATACATGGATGAAAAATATAAGATGAAGCTATTGGCTATTCTGGTATTCTTTGCCACTTGTCTGCATTTCTGGCTGTTCAGTTTGCAGTGTGTTTTGACTGGGAAATAAAGATGGTAACGCAAACAGGAAAGAACCTTAAAAACAGGTAGTCTGCAGTTCAAGATAACAACATGGTGATGGAATCCAAAAAAAGGCAAACGTGCAAAATGAGTCACAAAATCAAGAAAGTCACTGTGATCCTAGTAACAATATAAAAAGGAATAAAGTACAAATGTTCACAGAATGACATACTTCATGGCATCAAGAATTAACTTTTTCATGAACCTGAGCTACCTCAAAGTTATTCCTTTTCCTCCATATACAAAATTGTACCCACAACATGGAAAGTTGTGAAAACTGTGAGTGAGCCAAAAATTTATTGGCGTGGATTAGCAATTAGAAGACACTCAGAAACAGAAATGGTGAGTTATGAAACATTTCTTTGTTGATTTTTATTCTGACCCGAGCAGGAAGCCAAGATACATTTACCAGGAATTAAGGATTGTAATAGCGATGAGTCTCCACTTCTTAAATTTTGTTTATATGTCCAGGGCCCTTTGGCCAAGTTCTGACTCCGTAACACTGACCCAGCTCTGGGACCACCACCTGCATCCTCAAAAGCATCTCCTCCTTTGGCCCCGGGAGTTGCCCTTCTCCAGACAGCGCCCGCCCCAGAGCCCTGCCTCTGCTTACCAACGCCGGTGGAACTCATGCTCCTGTTCCTCCGTTGTAGCTAAAGCCTTCTTTCTCTTCATAAAGCCTAGCAACTCCTGGATCTCCTTCTCACAGGAGGCCAGGAGTGGGTTTTTAGCGTCCAGCGGCCCATAAAACACTGCGAGGGGCAACAAGTCCTCGCGGCAGGTCGAGCGAGGCAGTGGGCTGAGAGAGCTCGCCTTTGACTCCGGGGGGAACTTTGAGATCGCAGTCGAGGTCGGGGGCGGGGTCGGCGGCGGTCCTGGCGGCGACACAGATGTGGGAGACACGTTGGATGGAGAGGTCGAACAGGTGCCTTGAGCGGCCATGTTGACCAGACCGAGGCCTGACCAAGAGTGTGTGTACACGCGGTTGCCTGGCGACAGTCTCGTGGCAACCAGGCATCCCACGCGCTCTCGGGAAAACACAGCGGCCCCTGGAGGGCAAAGGAAGAAAAAACCCGGTCCAGAAAGCAATGTTGCTCCTGAGGTGCTTTTGCTCTCTGGCTCATCGCTGTATGAGATGAGAAAGGAGAGAAGGTTCTGGGCAGAGAGCGAATAGGAGTGCCAGAAACTTAGGATCACAAATCCAAACTATACTTTTTCCATTTCGACTACTTAATAATGTTGGTCTTTAATATGTACCAGGCATTGTTCTAAGCATTTGGAACATAATCTCATTTACTTCATTTAATCATCGTTATAGCTTTACAATTTAGGATATTATTAGTATCTCCATTTCACAGTTTAAGAAACCAGAGTTTAGGGAGGTTAGTCATTTGACCGTGGTCAGAGTAAACCGTAGGGTCAGGGACCAGGTCTCAGCCTTCTGACTCCCAAGCCTGTGCTCAAAATGAACAGGCTATGTTGACCATCCCCCAAGACTAAGCTTAACAGTCGAATTGAAATTAGGGTAATATCTGACAGCAGTTTAAGAATGAAGTGCATGCAACTGATCCATTCTGGTCGCTCTTTTTGGACCCTGAGGTCTGTAACTGCGGATGATTTTGGTGTCTAGTAGTTACAATTACTCTATGTTTATTCATTTGTATTTCAGCTTTATCCTAATTATCACTATATTCTAAATTCATGAGCATTTTACTCAGCCTTAACCTTTGGACATTAATGTGTACTAATGCTTGAAGTGTTAACTCTCTAAAGACATTTGCATTTTAAACTGGGATTTTAGGAGACTTTGCTTCTAAAGGGGAAACTATGGCCCCGAGGGAAATATTTGGGGGCAAGGGAAGTTCTTCTTTCCCTGCATTATGGGCAATAGTAAGTTTATTTATATATTTAAAGTATGAGTTTCCAACCAGTACAGAACTTGCTTTTTTTATAAATTATGCAGTGCCAAAAATTATCTAAGAGAAGGATCAGAAATATTTGATGGCTTAGGGAAATGAAAACTGTTAGTGGTTCTGTCAGACTTAAAAATAAATAAAGACAGTAACAGTAACACCCTGTGAGCCCAATTTCCCATCTAAGATTAAGAAGCTTATTGGACCACAGCCTGATTTCTTTCAGGTCTGACCTGATTTCTTGCAGACTCTGTGGACCTGTGCTAATTTGTGAGGCTGGCCTAATATGTCATGTGTACTATACTCTAATATTCTTTGAAGGCAAATGATGATGATTTTGCTTTTCAAGGCAGGTAATTATGGCCCAAGAACCCTCCTGGCAAGCAGCGAGGTGCTCCGACACCAGACTGAAAGGAATTCAATTCTCCAATCAGGATGTAGAAATCTTCTTTGATCAAGATTTTATCTTGTCTTTAAGTGGGCAGGAAAAATGTTAAGACTTTAAAGAATTTAGGCCTAAAGAAATAACTTATCCTTGGAGCATTTACAAAAAGTATTAATAGACCTTTTAAAAAAATCAGCTTGGTAAATTCTTTCTCTTCTCATCTTCTCCTTGTTCTTACATAACAGATGTGTCCACTTCAGATCAAAAGCTGGTGTAATTTGCCACTGAGTACTATCTTTTATATTGATGAAAGTGAAGCTGCAGGATAAATGTAAATTAAAGTGGTCAGAGAGGAGGAAAGAAAATAAAAATAAAACAGATAAAATGGATTTCTCCCCACTTGATCTGGCTGCTCTCAGAAACAAGCTTTCATAGTGCAGACACATTTCAAAGTCACTAGTAAAAGAAAATGTGACTAATTAAATTCAAATACTTGAATTATGAAACATTGCGTCTTAGTCATTTCCCTCCTTGCACACACTAAAGTTAACAATGCATAACTTTCAGTAGTTTTTGAAAGCTTGTCTGCATATTTAAATGGGTGCTATACTCTGAATCATCATTGTGGTAAGATGGATATTTCCATTTTCTTCAGTTTAAATTATATTTAAATCATTTTAAAAAACATTTTCAAGATGTTATCTTTCTTGTAATGAGATGCAGCTATTAGAATACCTTCTCTATTTCCTTGTCACTTTGCTTTATTCTTTTTACTGTAGTTAAAGAATAGAGCTCTGCAACTGTCTGACAGGGCTAAATAATGTAAATAGCTTCCTTATAAATAATGTAAATTGCTGTTTCCTTATAATTAGTGTCTTTGCAGGCTGCAAGGATCCTTTTTGCCCATTCAAGAGTCTTTATCATTTAAAGTTACTGTTAGAGAAAGAATAAATAAGGTTAATACTCTTTCTATTCCTAGTTTAGTTGTTAATCATTTGGACTGTCCCAAAAATGTACATTTATGTACAAAATGTACAAAAATGTACATTTAAAAAAAAAGTACAAAAATCTCCCTTTCCTACCTCACTACCTAATACTTAGACTTTTTTAACTTCATGCTTTTGTTCAGTGAAATACAGCCATTTCTTTAGTGTGTCACAAATGCATAGATGAACCGCACATTCCCTGCAAGAAGCAGATGGCACATATGCAACTAACCCCGAAGAAGGCATGCTGTGAAATATGCTGTGATAAAGATCTTTTAAATGCTGTAAGAACCCCAAGATGAAGCTTGGGATTTGAGAGAGAACAGAGGATTCTAGAGGAGGTGATGTTTTAGCCCTGAACCATAACTGTCCTTCATTAATAGAAAAACCCTTGCAATAGGGATTTGCCTATTTACTGTGATAACCTAGCACTGAAGACTGGCCACTGGCAGAGTATATAAATGAGTGAATGAAAAAACAGTAAGATGAACATTTAGAAGGATATCCCACATCTCTACAAATGACCCAATTTTGTTCCTTTTTATGGCTGAGTAATATTCCATTGTATATATGTACCACAGCTTCTTTATCCATTCCTCTGTTGATGGACATTTAGGTTGCTTCCATGTCCTGGCTATTGTAAATTGTGCTACTATGAACATTGGGCTGCATGTTTCTTTTTGAATTATGGTTTCTCTGGGTATATGCCCAGTAGTGGGATTGACAGTCTCTAGAACTACATGGTAGTTCTAGAGACTGTCATACAGAGTGAAGTAGGTCAGAAAGAGAAAAACAAATATCATATATTAACACATATATGTAGAATCTGAAAAAATTTGTATACACGATCTTATTTACAAAGCAGAGACACAGATGTAGAGACACAGATGTAGAGAACAAAGGTATGGATACCAAGGGGGAAGTAGGGGGTGGAATGAATTGGGAGATTGGGATTGATATATATATACTATTGATACTATGTATAAAATAGATAACTAATGAGAACATACAGTATAGCACAGGGAACTCTACTTAATGCACTGTGATGACCTAAATGGGAAGGAAATCCAAAAAAGAGGGGATATATGTATATGTATAGCTGATTCATTTTGCTGTACAGTAGAAACTAACACAACATTGTAAAGCAACTATTCTCCAATAAAAATTAATTTAAAAAATATATCAGTAGGGCTTCCCTGGTGGCGCAGTGCTTGAGTAATCATCACTCAGGTCGAGTTAACGATTTTTATCACGTAGAAAGTTTCCTTACAGTCAGTCCTTCCTTCAGTTCTGTCCTAGAGGGAACCATTGTTCTGATTTCTGTCCCTGAAAGTTAATTTTGTCTGTGCTTGAACTTCTTGCTGTGCAGGCATACAGTATGTACTATTTAGCTTTTGGCATCTTTTTCTCAGCATAATGTTTATGAGATTCATCCATTTTGAGATATATATATATATATATATATATATATATCAGTAGCAGATTCAGACTAATACAAAGACCAGATAAAGAGACTGTTTGGGTAAATTAAACAGGTTTAGTTATTACAGGCTACCAGTGGAAGTCAGTATAGTAAGGATATACAACAAAGACATCGGCAGCATTATCCAGGACAGATGGGAATATAAATTTCCAAAACCTAACATCCTCACCAGTGTTACACAATCCTGGATGGTAATATCCCTGCACCTTTTAAGTCTCTGATGCTTGAACAAATGTCTGCAGTTTCTCTGGAGTGCAGTATTGCTTCTAATTTAATACTTTGTGCATGCACACTTTCAGATACTTCCACTTGGCTCTTCCACCCACAACAGCTTTAATGCCACAGGTTAGGGACCCTGTGTTAGGGTTCTGCTAAATACTGCATCTCCCCTTCAATCAAAGGTCTGGGTTTGTGAACTGCTTGAGGTCTGGAAACTAGATGAGGAACCACAATTTTCCATTGCAGCAACTAATATCAGACTTTTGCTTACCATTTCTTGAGTTTTCTGATTATACATATCAAGCAGCACCTTTGTTGCCTGCTCATCCATCTAACTTGACCCTGTAACACCATGATTCATTAGCTAACACCACATATCCCTATAGGTAAAGGTACCTTGGTTGTCACTCTAGCCTGGCTGTCCATTATGGTAATTACATCTCATGCTGGCCTTTGTTAACTGCTACCACCTGGCCTTTGCCATTCTGGAATTACATCATCCCCACGAGTATTATGAAGCTAAATTTCATGGCAGAATCCCCCACTGTCAACCCTGGCCCACAGAAGACAGAAAACTTCCAAACTTCTCCAACAATGCTGGTGCTCACCTCATCGCTGCATTACTTACATCCTCAGTGGAGGTAATATCCTCTGGCCATCTCGGAGAACATAGCCAAGCAGTGGGTTCTTAGGACATACATAATAAATTCATTCTAACATTCCTATCTCTCTGGGCTTTCTGGCCCTTTCTTCAAAATCATATCAAGGAAGTTCTGCATCTTCACTTCATTTGATGTAGAACATTATCAGATCTGCATTTCCAGAAGCCACCTTGTTATGTTATTAGGAATCCTGAATCATGGCTGAGTACCCCCATATTAATGAATTCTACCCTATCCAGCCTGTATTCTGTCCTCTCCTGGTCTAACATACCCAAGGTACACTCCTACACATGT